TAAAAGCCAAAACTGTCTGACTGCACCGCAGTGCAATCAGGATGAAGCCTCCTCAAATGATTTATTTAGCAACAACAAGACGTCACTGGACTTTTGCAGGTGCAACTTTTGACTTCTGTGTTCAGTGAATCATAGCTACATGTTTATGTGCTGATAATGTATTGATATATTTCAGGAGCTTCACTAATGTCAGGTGTTCGGGATTCTGGGATTGAAGGGCTGTTCCAAATTTAAACTGCATTTTCTTTTGCATCAAAGAATGTTTGAAGTGAAATGTTTCAATGATACTATACCTCAGCTTGTGTCTGTTCTCTTTTACCTTACCATCACACTTTCTCTACAAACTCTCTATTTACGCTGAACAGAAGAGCCAAACATTTTCCATCTTCAAGTTGCCTAAACACACACTCAAAGGTAGAGTCCGCAGAAATGACAATTGCAGCTTGTAAACACAACATTTAAACTGGGCCTGTCCTCCTCGGCTCATCGCCACCAGAGGTGCACACTCACTGAAGGACTCTGCGTGTTTTCATTTACTGCCTGTAGCTACATTGCAAGCTACCTGAGAATTGGCCTATTGCATTTATTGTAATGGAAAAGCCAATAATTCAGCAAGTTTACTGCCAATGTTTGGCACCTGTCTGTCCAACAGAAAGAAGGCCAACTCTGCAACACAAGGTTCAAACTCGTTTTGGAGCGAGCTTTATCCACTTTTTCACCTCACTATGAGTGTATTTTCTCTTTTGTGCAGCTCGACCACGTCTGTCATTTTTGCCAGTTTAAATCGCGTCCAATCACTGAAAAGTATCCACTCCTAAACTCACCTGTGCGGTCATTGGCTGGAGGAAACACATCTGCTCCTCACCCAGAAACATCCCGAGTTAAAAAATGAAAATCCAGTCAGAAAATCCAGTCAGAAAACCGACTCTCTGCAGACACAGTCACCACCACACATGGGTCCCGTGAAGGCCCAGAAGTGATGATTGAGTAGCATTACATTTGTATCTATATTTATTTATTTTTTTAGGAAAAAGCTCTTGATTCTGCCTTTAAGCTGTGTTTCCACAGCAGAAGCATTCCCCATGGGTCTGGGGACTTAAGGGTATTAAAGTCAGTGCCAGAAAAGTGTTAAGGCTCGACACTCAGCCTTAATGCTGTGATGGCAATTTCAGAAAGCAACTGGTTGAAAGCTGAATTATTACAAACAGACCTCAGAAAAGAGGAAAACAATATAATAGATGAAAAAGCCAAAAAAGCCGGAGAAACAGAAGATGATCAAAGCCAAAGCCACATCCAAACAGATCTGAGGCAAAGTGAAGACAGAACCCAGAGCACAAAATGTGACATGAAACCAAAGAAGCCAATAAAAAAAGGATTTTTGTAGCTTACAGCTAAAGACTGGGTTTCTTTATGATGTCGAAAAATGGTCGGGGTTTAAGCCAGATCATAGAGCAAAAACTAAATTCATTAAAAACCTATTAAGCTTAAAAAGAGGACAATTATGGGAAACAGCTCAACTGTGGGAAAGAATGAATCCAAGTGTAGACGTCAAAGTTTGTGCTGCGCTTGTGAAGCAGATATCTGTAGTCTTCAGAGTAAACCAGGATACGGCTACCTGTTTCTTTGCTAACATAAAGCAGATCAAACTGGACAATCAAAGAGATGAGCTCATCATGTCAGACAAGAAGAGTCCAACAGTTCAGAATAAGGCGTGTCGCCTCTAGCTTCCTCTTGGCCAACCTGAGGATGCTAGAGGTGAAATGCGTTGTTTGCTCACAATAAAATATATAAAAGTTATTTTCAGTGTGCCACAGAGTTTTGATTTGTTTTTCATGGTATGTTCCTGCAACCTGAGAATGTTCAGGCTGTGCATGGTGTACCCTGTTGGCCATTTAAATTCAGAATAAGACTTTGTAGGCTGCATTTATTAGCTCAGAGCTGTATGGTTCTTATTAAAATGAATATGAAAACATAACTGAAAGCAAAGTAGCATACTATTCATTTTATATCTTATTTGTACAAAAAGTAGAAAATGTCAGAAAACTGTAAATCATTAAATATCTTTCACAATCTTGTATTTTACAGGCTATTAAAAAACAAAGTGTTTGCTGGTCTCCTCCCTCCTGTCCTCATTTACGACCTCCAGAATAAAGAGATCTGATTGGTCAGAATAGGCGGAGATTCATACAGGTTGAACTCAGGAGACGGTTAGGTGTTCGGCATAGGTTACCATGGCGATCAACCCCAGTAACCCAAGTAGTGAACCACCTTCATTAAAGTTGAACTCTAATCCAGATAATAACCATAGACTGTAAATATTAATGTTTGAAGCCTGAGTGACGTCAGCCATCTGTTCCTGCAGGGGGCTCTGGAGGCTCATCAGCAGCAGACGCCATGTTGGAAATCCTGTCTCAGTCTAACTTTCAGTCAACTTAACGACAGGCTGAGAGCTGGAGCTGAGGCGGGTTTTAAGCTTCTTGACAAACCGTTACATTGCGTCAACCTGTCAATCAGATCAGCTACATGCCTATATGGATAACACGTGTCCGTCTCAAAATCAAAACAGAGCTGCAGGAATCAGGAACTGCAGGATTTTGCACTTCCGCATTGGCTTCATTTATCAAGACCGGAGGTTGCTGCTTGACAATAACCCGTTCATGAGCAAGTTAGGTGGTCAGCACAAGTTACCATGGCAATGTACCCCCGGTAAGAAATGAACCACCTTTGTAGTAATGACCATCAAGAAATAACCCTCAAGTTACCTCGATAACTGAAACACCTGTTTCTTGGTGCCTGATGTGAGCAGGTAGGTGATTTGAGTCATAGGGCTGCAATGATGAATTGCTAAATCAATTCACGATATATTACGCATCAATTACTTCATGGTTTTTCTCTCAAAATTTTAAAGTAAATACTTTCTGGTTGGAGCTTCTCCAAAAGAGAAGACACTGCTTTTCTTTGTCTTTTGTGACAGTAATCAGGTGTAGTCCATTCTCTGAATGATAATCAATTGTTTTACAAATATGCAGATTTATAGAAACAGCATTATGTACTTAAGAAATAGATACAACTAGATCTAAATCTAGTGCTGAAATAGGTTGAGAAAGAAATTACACATGGTGGGTAATTCATTTAAAAACAAAATTGAAGTGGGCGCGCTGGTGGCGCAATGGCTAGGGCGCATGTCCCATGTATTGAGACTCTTGTCTCGAGCGGTAGGCCCAGGTTCGCTTCCACCCGTGGCCTCTTTCCGCATGTCATTCCCCGCTCTCTCTCCCTGGTTTCCGACTCTATCCACTGTCCTATCTCTGCATTAAAAGGCACGAAAAAGCCCAAAATAAATCTTTAAAAAAAAAAAAAAAAATTGAAGGTACAAAGTCTGAAATCATCATCTGAAAAGCCACAATGAAACACAAACACATAAAATAGCAGAGTCCTGTTAGAAGCACAGCAGGACTTGGCAGCTGCACAGACTACCTGCTGGTCTTCAGAGCCGCCCTCACCAGAGCTAATGACTTCTCTTGGGCTCATCAAAGTGCTTACTTAGGCTGCTTCATCCACCAGACCAGACTACATCCAACCCCAACACGGCTGCACAGTCCTGGCACGCCACCACGCCTTGCACACCGGGTCTGATAGCGAGCGAGGCTTAGACAAGTCTCTGTGGCGAGGTTATTAGTATTCTCCCTGGGGATCAGATTCAATTCTGCAGCTTCTGGTTGACTGAATGAACGAGTGAGCGAGAGAGGGTTAACACTATGAATGGGCCCACTGCCAGATCTAACCTCAGACTGGGTCCTGTGGGAGGGGACGGGGATGCCGCAGCATCTCACTTGTTACACCATCAAGGAAATAATTGGTGCGCCTGACTTGGGCGTGTAATTCAATTAGGGCAATAAAGAAGCCGTTGATATTCTCTGGAAGATGAACAAAGAGGATGAGGAGAGCTAAAGCTTCTTCAGCCAGTAAAATCAATAGAAGAAATAAGAAAACTCACTATTTCCCCCGAGAGTTTTCCTTAATCTAATGATGGCATGTCTAACCTTCTGCAAAGGGACTTTTGCTATAATATTTACACATTTAAGAGTTTACAATCTCATTACTATGGATGTTTTTCTTTCACTGGTTTCTTATCACACGGCTCTTTTCAGCCTCGAACAGATAAAAATCGATGCTGCAAGCGAGTGAATCTATTATTAAAAATGTTCCAGGCGTTCACGAGAGCAGCCTGAGAGTGATACTAAATAGCTCAGGATGAGCCCTAATCCACATTTGAGTCTCGTAAAAAAAAAAAAAAAAGAAGCAGACCTCGAGACAATGGTTCCCCCCCCCCTCAAGGTAATACTTCAATAACATTAATGATAAAAAACCTATAGGAGCATCATCCGCCTGGAGATGTCATCCAGACGTTGTAAAGGGAGCAGAGGGCGGTGTGATGGATGGAGGCGGTCGTGCTGTCTGGAGGTCTGCAGCCTCACATAAAGTTTGTCATTGTAGAGGGAGGCAGAAGTACAGTTTGATAGAAGGGATGTACTAGCCCAGGAGAGAGTCAAATCCTCTTTGCATCAGTTTGCATCAGCTCTTGATCATATCAGTCGTTTGCATCTTAGTAAGCAGTTAGAAGTTTTAAGAAAATGTGTTTTTTGAAGGGAGAAAAGATGCACAATTCCAGTTTTTGTCTAATAATTGCTGCCAACAACTACCTCAAGTCACAGAGAACAATCTGTGTACATGCATTTCAGTCACTTTTACATGCATCACTTATCTTCTTTGATAATCTGACTGCACCTTGCAGAAGTGCTCTGTATATTTACAACCTGAGAACCAAACAGAAACGCTCCTTTAAAGGCAGGTGCAGCCATATCTGGAACAATACGTGATATATCTTTTGGAGCCTCTGAGCTCTTTACGACCCGGCAACCATACATCAAGTAGTAAAAAAAAAAAAAAAAAAAGAAATCACACGTTTCTCTCAGCAAATTGATGCTGAATTGTCTTACCTGGTGTGTAGCAGCTGAAGAGGGGAGGCTCTCTGTCTCTCGCTCTCTTTTCACCGCAGATCTTTATTCACAGCACAGGCAAACCATGACGGGATTTCAAAGGAAGAACAGCGTCGGGGGGGGGGGGAAGCAGTTTTAAGTCCCCTTTGAGGTGTTCCTGGAAGGCGGTGAGAGGAGGGATGGCAGTCCGGGTATGTGAGGGAGAAGGAGCCCCGCTCAGGCTGCGAGAAAGCGGCGGAGGAGAGCCTGCAGACCTCGCAGCGACAAGCTCGTGTGAGCGCTCAGCGGGGGGGAGTGCAGCTGCTCCGGCGGACACCAGGTGGCGGTGTGGGACATTAAATCATGACAGTGGAGGAGCGGTGTGGGGAGGATGCTCCCTGAGTTGACGCACATGGAAAGCAAGAAGAGACACTATTAATAATAATGTTCATCATTACACTGTACTACAAATGAGCGGAAGTCCATAAAGTGGCTCAACAGGATAACCTCTAGAAATGCCATAATATCCTCTAAACTGCAAAAAAGCCAGTGAAGTCGTAGGAAGATGAAGAGACTGCTCATTACTTCTTTATCTAAACAACCAAGCTAATCACCTGGTTTGAATGCATTTATTGAAAATGGGCAATTTTGGTCAAAATGAATGAGCATGATTTTTTCAGACATGTGATTCCTGCAAACTTCCCTTTCATCCATATTTCAAGTTATTCTGTCTATTCATTTAATAAGAAATTGTACACTCTGCAACATTACAAACACATAAATATCACATTGGACGAACCAGATTCATTGTTTGAGTGTTTTAGCACACATGCTAATTCTCAACATTTGTACACGAGGCTATAGCAGCAAACTGCTGTCAAATTAGTTGTGAGTCTTTTTTTAATCTTTAAAGATTAAAAAAAGAAGAAGGGGATGGATTTTTTGATAACTCAGACTTTTGTATTGATGAGTGAACTAAAGAGAAAACATTACTATTCCAATGAAGGGAATAATTAACTTAATTGTTTTTAGCGACACTATAAAAGTTGGTTGTACGTCTTATATTTCTTAAAGTTATAATATTTGTCAAATACAAGAGAAATACTGTAAAATATATTTCCCTCTGTAACACATTGTGGAGTAAAAGTAAGTAAAAAAACCTTCAACTTCCATACAGCACAAAACAAACTGTACAAAGAGCATCAAGTACTTGAGGGAGCTGGAGACAGCAGCACCCCACGCTGATAACCACCATAGCTATAAGCTAACTAACGAAGCTAATCTTCAGTGGCTTGCCGAGTTTAGAGGAACATTAAACACTTCTCAGAAACACAACATATATCCAACTACAATAAATTACAACATGTCAGGACTACTAGCAAAAATAAAAAGGACAAAACACAAAATTAGCTTTTCAAACCTGACTGTGGCTACCTAAAGGATGCTAAAGACACACAGCTAAAGCAGTGAGCTAGCAAAACATGACCGTCAAACAGAAGCTAACACAATGATTCAGCTATGAACAAAAACAAAAAAACAATTTATCTCACCATGGAGATGTTCTCCACTGAGGGAGGGCCTCCATTTGTTAGCTTCACTTTCAGGCAGTCTTTTAGGATAACAAAAAACTACACCACTGACAATAAATTAACCAGAGAAAAAAAGGCTAAAACATTATAGCAAATTGATATTGTTAGACTAAAGTTATACAAGGCTAACAGGAGAAGAAAACGCTGATATAACTGCATTACAAACATTCCTATGGGCCTTCATTCCCAGGCCAGGTGCAGCTCATTAAGCAATCACCTGAGAAGGACTGTCTTCATCTGTATCGATGTAAACACTCACTTCCTGGTTATATAACACTGACAAGTACATCTTGAATTCAGTTATTGTTTATTGATTTAGTTTGACTTTTCTTCTTAAAGTTTTCTTCGGTCTCAATCACCTTTTCTTTGGCTAACCTATTGTCAACATGCTTCTAGAGGAGCAGCGACCAAACACTTCCTGCTTTTGTTCTCTTTCTGATGTCATCAGTGATGTCACAGCTTAGACCCAATCATAGAGAATTTGTTGGTTTTGACATACAGGACATTTTTAATGAGGGTTTTGTCATTTGTAATAGTTTCCTTTACCTCATGTTTACCAATTAAGTTAAATATATGTCACTTATTTTCTGTTTTTGTTAAAATACTGATTTATACGGTGGCCCTTAGTGCTCAAACTACATGCAGGAAAAAACAAACTTAGACAAAAAAAAGCCTAAGCATAAAACATATGAACTGATTTGACAAAAAAATATATCAAAAATTGAGCATAAAAAGAGCTCCTTGAAATATTAAAACAATTAAGCAACAATAGTTGTTTCCATGGGCCACATACAAGTGGTGATCATGCACAGACACTACTTGGACCAGTTAAACCCCCAGTTAAATTTTAATCGATTATTAAATTATCGTCAGTTCTGCTGAACTCCGCGATAAGGACTTTAGCCTCCAAACTCAAGGCGCACAACATAACCAATAGGCCATCAGCGCCCCCAGCTCAGTTTGTTACTTGCAACTTTAGATCCAGACACCATCCTACAGGTTAAAAATGAGACTTCTACATGCTGATGTGGGAGTCTGCTGTAGCAGGGGTAGGAGAGTTGGAGAAGTCAAAGACTGGTACTGCACAGCCAAAAGACTCAAGACTTCAATGAATCAGGACTCACGCCTTCATATTCCTATTTATTCAAAATGGAAAGCAGTTCTCTAAAAGCTGTTATCTTCCATCGCGTTCAAATATTACAAATAAAAAGCAGATTTTTCTCAAGGTTTTTTTGTAAATGAAAGAAGTAGTTCTGTAAACATTGAGGTTGAAAAGCAAGGAGCTGCATACAGTATACTGAGTGTTATGTGCTGGTAAAAGAAATCACTTTATGGTATTATTTCAGATAAAAGGCGGTTTGATGAGGCATTCACTCATCTCTAAGAAAGGACCTTGATATGTACAAAGACATAGAACTATGGTTTCTCTCTCTCTCTCTCTCTCTCTCTCTATCCCTCCTTACACACCTGTCTGACCCGCTCTCTCGCCCTCTGCTCTCTGTTGATCTGACTCACTCACACCACTAGAGGAAGCAGACAGAGTGGTCACTGATGATTCCTGCCTCTCCAAACACTCTGATGGGTCTGATTCAAGGAGCGCTAATGGGCGCTCAGAGTGAGCATGGAGGTAATTAGTACTCTGCCATCGTCATGCATGTGTGTGAGTCTGTCCTTCTTGTTAATGTAAAAGTTTACCGACTGCCTGGCAACCGTCACGGTCATGTCCTTGTCTACAAATGAGGAAGCCAATCGGCACCCTCTCCTTGTGTTTCTGTCAGCCAGTCTGAAGCAGAATGAATACACATGTTTGTATTTTACACCCTATCATTGTTTTTCATTGTTTTTGTGATTAAATATTAAATGATGAAGCAGGAAAATTAGTCTTTTAGTGTTTTGCATCATCATCAGAGGCGCTGATTGTCAAAGGGCTAGGCAGGCAAACGCTTGGGGCCCCAGGCCAGTATGGGGCCCTTATTGGCTAACAAACTTTAAACCACAACATTGCCACAAAATGTACAAATGTTGCAATGGCAGTAAGAAACCTCCCGAAGGGGGCCCCATCTGACACCACTCACTCTCAATGCCCTGCTAAGCGTTGCATGCATTATTGCTGTGAAAAACAAATTTTGTCAATGAAGGTAAATTAAGAGGAAATATCCACCTGGGAAGGGGAAAAAGAAAGAGGGAAATAATAATGAACGCTGGCTGGACAAATGAATTATTGCCCAGGGTCCCGACAGACCCTAGAGTCGCCCCTGATCATTATACCTACTCAGAGAAACATGTAAGCAAACCTCTTATGTGTTATCTCAAGGCTGTAACAATGGCTAAATGACATTGTATGACCATTTTCTCGACTTAAAAAGAGACCTAAAGGGGCGCCGGATAGCCTAGCAGTGAAGACTGCACTAAGGTCCTTAAGTTTCAAACATGCTGGGCGACTTATATCCTATCCTGACAATTCTTTTCAGGTATGTCAGATTCAATTTTGTACGAGCTTGCCAACAGCAGGAGTTCGAACCTTTTTTTTTTTTTGCCTTTATCTGAGAGATAGGACACTTTTTCATCCATCTTTTCATTTTTATTTTACTAAATTCTTATTGGTGTGCATTAGTCTCTCAATGATTTTATGAACTATTTTTTCGTCAATAACTTTTCTGCACTCTTGTAAAGCACTTTGAACTGCAATTTCATTTGCCTGAAAGGTGCTATATAAATAACGTTTGACTGATTGATTGATTGATTGAACATTCAAAACTAATTCAAACTAAACTGAACTTGAAAACAAAAAGTCAAAATGAAAAAAAATTGGATTGGATCACTCATTACTTCCCATTTTTAACATTGGCACCGATGATGCACAGTGCAAAAGAACTGAGCCCTCATCTTTTGACGGATTTAATTTCCTTGCACATTTAACATGTTTAAGAAAAAAAACAACAATAACATGATGACCTTATCTGTCAGAGCGGAGCTGTTGCACCATCTGCCAACCATAAAGCATCACTGAGAGGCCCTGAAGGTCAGGGTAATCGACTGAAACAAATCCAACATTATGTGCATAAATAAAAACAAGCAACCAGGAACGTAAAAAAGGCAAGACGCACTTCCATGCTGTTTGGTTGTCATATTCATTTGAAACACGGTCATGGAAGAAGAGAAAGCGAGGTTTATAGCATTTAAATGTTGAACAGAAGACTGATTTGTGTTTCCATTTTCTCCTGTATCCCTGAGTTTGATTTACAATATCACAAAACTGTATGACTATGAAATATTAATGAGGAAATAAGGTTTTATGATTTCACTTTCCAGCCTCAGAAAATGCAGATTTATTGAATTATATAAGAAATGCAGTGAAAGATATTCATGTCTCTTTCATGTCTGTCTCCTCTCTTATTTTTTAATGATTGTACATTAACTGACGTTTAAATAGCATCAGCAGGTTTAAGACGGCCGTGTTTTTGAGCTTGGCAGGGACGTGCTGGTTGATACAGCCTGTGCTATACTTGTGTTCGCTGTTTAATCATGTAGACGCCCACTGGCTCAGTAGAGAGAGAGAGGCATGCCAAGTCCTTCACCTTCTCCTCCTCCTCCTCCTCCTCCTCCTCTTCTTCTTCCTCCTACACCGCCTCTCCTGGCACTTCAACAGCATGGAACTTCAAGAAGATTTAAAGCACATTATACTATCTTAGGAAAACTGAAACATTTTTATGGGCCGACAAGATTTGTTGAAGTTGATCTCTCATACATTGTTAAATGGCCTCGACCTGTAAACCCTATACATGGAGGGGCGGCATGAAATGTTGAAAGTATCTGTCTACACATGAAATTAGAACATCACAGTGGATCCCTTTCCCACAGTGAACATATGAATACTTCTTCAGGGTCATATGACAAAGTAATAAAGATCAAGAAAGTCTGCTTGGTGACAGTCAGGACGTATGGATCGTTTGATTTTCACCCAGGAGACCAGAGCTCGAGAACTTTATGACACCAAAGGTCAAAGTTGGCTTGTTGACTTGTCATCATAATGCAAAGTTATTTATGTAAAGTTATGCAGGTATGAAGCCTAACTGCAATATTTATTAAGATCTGTCCAGATTCTTGAACAGAGCTGCATGGTGGTACAGTCGTAAGCCAGAAGGTACCTGGTTCGAGTCCATCTGGGCGGGTTGCCTTTAAATGTGGAGTGTTGCATGTTCTCCCCATGGATGCTTGGGTTCCCTCTGGGTACACTGGCTTCCTTCCACAGTCCAGACAAGACTGTGACAGCCACACAACCATGGAAGGGATAAGTGGTATATATAATGGATGGGTGGAGATTCTAAAATCAAAAAGTATTTTTAAATGTAGAGTATATGTACAGTAATGAAAACTAAGGTTAGCAAACATAAGCTAACAGCCAAGGTACCATAATATAAGTTAACACAACACTAGCAGAATCAGTATACACATAACCGCAAAATGACACCACATTAGGGAACATACGGTAAAGTAATTCAATAAAGACAACGTGTTCCAATTTAACATATTGCGTTATATCTGTAATGCAACGTGATGCAACGTGACGTAACAAGACATATAACATAATGCTACATATACCAATGCATCATCACTCAGTGTAATGCAACCCAACACAAAGTAACCCCACACAATGTATGACAATGCAGCACAACCCAAAGCAATGCTATTGTACCCAAAATAATGAAAAGCAATTCAATGCAGCACAAATCGACTCAACTTCCACTTACCACATCACAATGTGACCCCATGTGATGTAAATGTAACATAACATGAAGCAATGCAATATAATCTAACATAATGTAACTTGGGGAATGCTCTTACTTGACCTAAGTGACCTTTTTCAGACACATTTGGAGCTGGAGAAGTTCCAGGTTGTCAAACACTAAGTTAATAAATGTGCTGTTTAAGTCAAAGGCTTATATATTTACTTCTTAATTTGAGTGTTAAAAACAACGTTTGACACAAAATTCACTTACATGAGAAGTGAAAGCTGACTTAGTTGTTTATTTATTAGAA